TATCTCGTATTTCAAGCCAGGGAAAGTCCTTAAATTTTTTATGGTCTTGGCTCATCTGTATTTACTTTTACGCTAACTGTTCAACCAATTCACCTGTACTGGTTGAGCTGTGCGTCGGAGATTGAAACACTGCCGCTCGTACTCAGTGCGGTAGCCACCTAAATCTTCTTTCCTCGACGGTTTGTTATTGTGATCTCGCATGTAGCTGAGCACATTGTCAGGATGGGCCATCTCTGGCAGCAATCCAGCGTTTCGATCATGAACTGCGACGGGTTCGTCCTGTTCCATTCGTGGCTGAGGAACCTCGACAGGTTCTTCTTGCTCCATTTGTGGTTGATCTAACTCTACAGGCTCTTCTTCTTCTTCCATTCTTGGCTGAGGAACCTCGACAGGTCCTCCTTGCTCCATTTGTGGCTGATCTAATTCTACAGGCTCTTCTTCTTCTTCCACTCGTGGCTGGGGAACCTCGACAGATTCTTGTTGCTCCATTTGTGGCTGATGGAACTCTACAGATTCCTCTTGTCCCATCCCTGGTTGACCGCCATCGTCGTGATGTTGTTGCAGTGGTTGTTGAAGGCCAGAGCCTGAAAGCCACATTCAGCAACATAGTAAACACTCGCAGTGTGGCCTTGTAAGACCACGTTTTACAAAACCACTGACGTACCTGAAGGAGCACTTTCGTCAGCTGGATCGTGGACAGCATCACCTACTTGGGCGTGGTATGACGCCTCGTCTGCCGATTCATCACGTGAAATATCACTATCTGCATCATCTGGGCCTTCCTGCTCCTCAATCCTAGCATTTATTTCTTGTGGCTCTGGTGACATTGCAACCACAGCTCTGAAAAAACGAGACGTTAGACTAATTAATTATGGTCAATCAATGAACTTACCTACCATTTTTTCTGTGCGATTCTTCATTTATGTGCACGTTTGCTTATCGTGTGTGTTGTTTTGCGTTTTATTATGATGTTAGAATGTGTGCGTGTGTATGAAATACGGATATTTTTCCTTTGTCCATGTTCTCTTTTCATTTTTTTTTGCGATTTTTAGATAGTATGTGCTATTATATGTTTCAGTAAGGGTGTTTAAGTGTTCGTATGTGTGAGTTTGTGTGCAGCTAATGTTAGTATGTGTGTGTTCTATAACATTACTTTAATAGACCACACTGATGAGCCCATTCGTTGGCTGTCTGTGGTTGAGAGGGCGAAACAGCCTTTTCGTAATTCCGCATTTTACTGAAATTGTTGTTTGTTTCCTGTTGGTTTAGTTTGTTTCAGGTTTCAATTCATAACAAAGAATCACAGGTGAGTCTATTATCAATGTTGTTGGTGTTTGATGTTTGATTGAGTCGTTTGGGATGTCGCCAGTCAGGGGTCGCGCCTAGTAGTACCTAGGGCTAGTCGTAAATCTCGCGATGGATATAGACTTGCGTAGAGTTCATAGCACGCCCATTAGCTTTCCATTCATTGCCACTCGTGTTTGCAGATCTCTACAGTTTTCTTACTATCCTCGTTTCATTGTTTGATTGATTGTAATCTATCCAATCTGCTTTACTTCTCACTTCATTCGCTTATTGTTTCACGCTTTTATTGGGGTACTTGTTATGCTTGATTTCTTTCAATGCCCTGAAATAAATGCTTTTCTACGGCTGACGTTCATTTTTCAGCATGAGCTTACCTGCTTTCTTTTTTGATGACTATGAGCAGGAGCAGAAGACGATGCTGCTAGAGCTGATGATATTCGCACGAACAGCAACAGGGCTGTTCATTATGTGGATTTGTTATTATTGTTTGGTGAGTTTATAATAAATTGATTTAATTAAATGAAATTGTGATAGTCGGTATTGTAAGTTCCTTTTGTTCAGAAAGCGGTGTGGAATTGGAGGAAAGCGAATCGTAGGCCGTCGGAGGAAGACGTTGAGCGATTTGGGCCGTTAGATGAGGCAGCCGAGTGTCTCCAAAGTGAAGACTGATGCCTTCAAGTATTTATTCGAACGGAATATATAAATATATAGATATGTAATAAAACTTATTCTCATTGAGATGTGTTTTGTGATGTACCATTGAAAAGTCAGTTGCATTGATCACCAGCACAATGTGGTTAACCAGAGCAGACACATATAACGACCAAACGTTTTGAGGGTAGGAAAGAAAGCAGAGATACTGTAATTGTGTGCATGTGCGAGAGTGCCTAGAGCGAACACTACAAAATGCTCAATCAGCAAGCGTTGGCTGCAGGGCTGCAAAGACTTCGAAACAGCGCTGACTGGACAAAACTCCGGATATAAGCTCATCCCATCATAGAAAGCTTAAGTTCAGAGTTTCAAGGTAATTCGATAAGTTGGGAAGGAGATATGAATGTCTGAAGCCGGGCAATTTGGGTGGCGAGCTGCAAAAGTGTCGATTCGTTTAAAATTGGACCCACCTGGATAGCACGCTTATCGACAGAAATAGACTAAACTCCGAATATAAGCTGTGCCCTCTGTGGAAAGCTTAAGTTCGAAATTTCAGCTCGATTGGTTGAGATGGAAGGGAGATATGGGCCGTCCGAAGCCGCGCAATTTGGGTGGCGAGCTGCAAAAGTGACGATTTTTCAAAGTTTCGCTCCCTGAAAAACACGCTTTTATTAACAGGAAGTGTAAGCTCATCCCATCATAGAAAGCTTAAGTTCAGAGTTTCAAGGTAATTCGATAAGTTGGGAAGGAGATATGAATGTCTGAAGCCGGGCAATTTGGGTGGCGAGCTGCAAAAGTGTCGATTTTTCAAAATTTCGACCCCCTGGAAAACACGCAATTCAACAGAATTGAACCAAACTTTGGATATAGGATCAACCCCTTGCAGAAAGCTTAAGTTCAGAATTTCAGCCGGATTGGTCGAGATGGAAGGGAGATATGGACTGTCGAATACGCGCAATTTGGGTGGCGAGCTGCAAAAGTGGCGATTTTTCAAAAGTTTCACCCCTGGAAAACACGCTTTTCAACAGAATTAGACCAAACTTTGAATATAGGTTCAAACCCTTGCAGAAAGCTTAAGTTAAGAATTTCAGCCGGATTCGTTCAGGTGGAAGGGAGATATGGGTGCTCAAAGCTTGGCCGTCACAATTGAATCCACACATATTCAACAAAACCATCATAACTTTGTTCATTCTGAATCTTTTTAAAATCTGATTGCACCAGTGTGTTCAAAATGGTCTCAAACCCTTAACTCCAAAGTTTCGTTGCGATCGGCTCCCTCAGGCGCTTGTAAATTTAATTAATAAAAAAGACCTTTCCCGAAGGGTAAGGTCTTTTGCGTTCTCCCCGCACAATCGGCGGGCAGCCCGCCGAGGCCACGCCCCTTTTTCAGTGCTAATTTCGTTGGCAGAGTGCCAGCCAGTTATAATGGGCAAAAATACCTTTCCGGTAGTGAATGGTCGTAAATGCCAAATTTTTTTTTGTTTTTTTTGTGTATTGTATGTACGTTGTTTGCATTGTAGAGTGGCGTAGGATTGTTCTTCTGATCATTATAAGTGTCTATTTTCATTATTCATTGGCTTACATATGCTGATAAAGCGGCGTGCATTCATCAGTAGATGGTCTACACGATGACTCAAGCCTAAGCCTAAGCCTAAGGCATAGGCTTGTGCTCCTGGGGACAGCAACTGCTGCCTTAAGCCTAAGCCTAAGCCTAAGCCTATGCTTTAGCTCGTGCTCCTGGAATGAGTGGGTTCCACCACAAGCCTATGAGGCTCTGGCATCTCCTGTTAGGCCTGCTGTGGGTAACTCCTCTCCCCAAGCCTAACCCTAAGCCTAACACTATGTTTCGGAGCTGTGCTCTTGGAGATGCAGGTTTATAATGACATTTTGCTGTCGGTTAGGTCTCGCTATGAGCCACTCTATCCCCAAGGAGCATAGGCTAGATGTGGTTAACCTGAAAAACAGGTTCTGGGCTTAGCTTGGGCTTTACGGACTCTGCTTACATAGCAGTGCCCCGAACGAGGGGCGGGTTATCTCTTGTTGCGGTTTTCTAATGGGCGGTCGGTTTTGGTTCGTAAGAGGTGGTTTGTAGATGCCGAATGTGCCTCGCCCCTTGCGTGAGGGCTGTGTTACGGCAAATTCAGTGGTATTGACGGACACTTCTTGCTAGTAACGGGCCGGTATTTAATCTATTTGTGGTATGAATTTATTAAAACTTTTGCGCTGCAAGTGATTGTGGTGGCAGTTCCAGAAATGTATAAATAGTGAAGCAGGAACTTTGGTCAGTCTTGGGAAATTGGTGAGTGGTTCATAGAAGCAAGCTTTAAACTACTCATCGTTAACGAAAGATATGTCATTGCAATATATCTTGCCTTTGCTTTCATGACTCGTTTGCTCGATTCGCCCGCTGCTGTTGATGCGAAGCGGCAGCGAACGAATCTAGCAAGCGGATGCCGTTGCCCATCTGCTGGATGCCTCACATTCCACCCCCTGCCTCATGGATTTCCTGCCTGCAATTGCGTGTTCACCAATCATTCTCTCAGAACAATGGATCTTCTTTGGGTTATGGCCCTTTTCGTAAGTGAACTCTCGCATCCGTCTTGACGTATTTTTAATTTATCGTGTCTTAACTTTCCTCAGCTTGCCCAGTCTAACGACTATGAGCTGTTTGTAATTGGTGAAGTGGTAGATTCTTTTGATTTCTGTTTCACCGCCGTTTCACTGCTTCCATGTCCAGTCTTCTTGAAACCTGGGCATTTCCGATTGTGCTGCTTGCTTTCTTCTTTCTTGCAAAGCAAGACACAATCGGAAATGCCCAGGTTTCGAGAAGACCGGACATGGACCATGCTGCAGAGTGTTTTCGCTACCGCCTCTGCCTGATAGTGATGGCTGAATTACATGTTTCAATCTTATGTTTCCACACGTTTCATATTCATTGTTTCAAATGTTCAAATAGGGCACTTGCAATTTTTGCGATCCGTCGCGGGTTTCGCAAAATCGCGAATTCAGCGAAACCTGCGACGGATAGCGGGCACTCTGCCGCTAGCCTGAGGGGTCGCGCTGAAGTCTGAAGTCGATCAAGCATTATGAGTGGTTCTACGGCTCGGATCACTGGGTTTATGGGTTACTTGAACTTTCCTGTATGGTCCTGTCACGAATGGCTAGACTAGAGAACGAATGGAAACCTTAGAACTAAACCTTGGAGAGGAGAGGAACCCGCTAGAGAGACTCCCTGTCTCATCTTCCACTTTCTTTCGCTAGTTTCGCCTTCATCATAAACAACGATCTCGGACCACAGTGATGGGGTCAACTTGCCCACATCACTGTGGTCCGAGATCGTTGTTTATGATATAGATTTTGTGTATGCTTGAAGCGTAGACAATTTTCAGCGTGGATGGAGAACTGAAAAAAAATCATTTCAAAAAATGTTCAATGTCTATGCCTTGCTATAGTTTTCTTTTATAATCATCTTTTCTTAGTTTAGCATTGAGCTCACTTCGCCATCCATGTTACGTATAACCAATGCGTGGTCGTGTTATTCAGAATTGCGACGAGGCCATCCCACTTGCATGGGCACTATTTGTTTCACTGTCCCCCCTCCACTCCACCTCGGTTTCTGGCGTACGTGGTGTGAAGGTGGAGTGAACGGGAAGTGTTCATCAGTGTCCGATCAGGGGCGGTATTCCAATCCTTCCCCCAGGGGGATATATCCCCCTCCTCTGATTCAATCCTCTGGGGGACAAAAAAGGGTTGCGTCATAGGACCTAGCATACCTCTGTGTTTCTACCTGCCAGACAGTTAGAGCAGCGCGACCCCTCAGGGAAAAGAGTGCTTCATCATTGGTGGTGGTAAGCAGCGCTGCTTC